TGTTTAGTTTTGTCAGAGATGAGCGTTCCATTGCCATGCAAATGTAGGTACATAAATTCTGCATCTTGTACTCTGAATAACTACTGCAAAGAAAAAATGTGAAATGTATTATTATAACTGTCCTACTAACCTGTTTTGAAACTCTCATTGCTATTTATTTCTCAATAAAATTTAAAATTAATTAATAAATACATTAATGCTAGCTGCCAGGGATGTGGCTCAGCAGCACTCTGCCTACCTGGCAAGTGTGAGGCAGAGTACGATTCCTGTTTTCAAAAAAATAAATTAGAGCTGGTTGAATAGCTCAGATGATTAAAGCGCCTGCAAGCAGGCATGGGAGTGGGTGATTCAATTCCTGGGTCTGCTGTGTCAGCCCCACTCCCGGGTCACACTGAGCTGGTGATTGAGACTGGGTGTGGTGGTTCGCACCTGTAATCCTAGCTCTTGGGAGGCTGTGAACAGGAGAATCACTATGAGTCTGATCTAGTAGTGAGACCCCTTCCCTAAAATACAGAAAATTAATTAATTCTTCATATTAAAAAAATTTAAATGGTTTTCTAGAATTATGTAATGTGATGTTGTATAATGGCACAACTGAGCTCATTGAAGAAAAAATAAAGTAAAAAAAATTATAGGAAAAAACATGATATCATGCAAGGATAAACAATGCTACACTGAGCTACTTATCAAAAAGTCTTCAATATAGAGTATCCAGAAATTGTAGTAGGTGTTTTATGGTCCTACAGCACAAAATATATGTCAAGCCCATTTTATAGATTATGTATTTGAGACCTACTGGCTCTCAATCTTCTCAGGATGCCTGTATCATCAATGACAAGATCATCCAAAGACTCTTAATATGATGCCATCTAGTGTCCACCCTGTCCCATTTCTTCCAACCTGAACACAGCTCTGATTACCAAATCATTTTGAAAAGTTCTATATTGGGTAATTATGTGACATTCTGGTGAAGGAAAATTAGGAGAGATGATAATAGTTCTGTGATTGTCAGTGATTCATGGAGAAGGAGGAGGAGGAAGGGAATAGTTTGTGTAGCTTATAGGGGAGAAATTGCTAGGACAGGAAATCTATTCTGAATAATACTGTAATTGGGGTTCTGTTACAATTATAAGTTTGCCAACACTTGCTGAAAGTGACAGTAAGTTTAATATAGGTTATTTCCACTTTTGAAAACAAAAGTGTCCATAAGAAGAATGCTAAAGATCACTGTGTATCAGGTGGTCCTGCAATTCCGAGTTGTGAAAAAGGCAATGTAGTGCGTTGCTCTAGCACTGCCACCAAATATGAACATGGAAGGATTGGACTGGCATATTGCAAGATGCTTCTTGTGAATTGAGTGAATCCTTCCAATAGACTGCCCTTCACAGAGTTTGGGAGAGAGATTTACCACAGTGAGATGGCCCTGGAGGCTGTATTGGTGCTGCGCTCCATGGCCAGGCTACACAGCTCAATGTACAGACGCCCATCTTATTTGAGAAGCACTAAGTATTGCAGCACCCAGGGTGGGAACAAAGTGCCCTGGGTCTACAGGGCTCCAAGATATGACAAGAACAATGCAATATCATTGAACTGAAGGAATAAAGGAAAACCACATGAATAAATGTACACTTGAATAACAATGCATATTCATATTTTGGCACACTAAATCAGAAAAAGTACACACTGGACTCAAAGGTAAGTGACACTTCTGATGATCTCGTTCTCTCACAGCTTACCCTGAGGCTTGGAACAGGCTTAGATTATAGAATTTTTTTACCATTCTTTGTTTTTTGAAAGAAATTAAGCACTAGTTAAAAACATTAAAAAACAATACAGAATTTCAAGAAGCAAAATTATAGAATTCAATAAGGATTGTTATATTGCATATTGTCTTCAAATTAGTTTTACAGGTTACCAGATGCAAAGTTGGTCAAAAAAATTAAAAAGAAGAGAAAAATATTGAAGCATTAGCTGCTCCTTTAAATAGCTCAGCAGAAATCAGCAGTACAGTCAGCCAAGTTGTCCTGTGTATGTACACATAACTTGCTTTTTCCCTTCCTACTTTATCTCTTTTCTCCTTTCACTCATCCTAGTTATTCCTTCCCTTTGAACAGTTACTTTTCCTTTGACAGTATCTACTGTACCTTTCAGATTTTATTTGCTCTTTCAGGTTCTTACACTAGGGAGACAATATGATGTTTGCATATATGTGCCTGATTTATTTCACTTATGCAAATGATCACTAATTGCATCCATTTACCCATGAAAGCCTCAAAGTCATCTTTTTATGGCTGAGTAATACTCCATTGTATGAAAATATCACATATTTTTTATCCATTCCTCTACTGATTGGAATTTAGTTTCTTTCCAAGATTTAGCTATGACAAATTGTGCTGCTATAATCATGGGTGCACATAAATTGCTGTGGTATGATGGCTTCATTTCTTCTGGAGAAATACTCAGGACTGGGATACCTAGGTTGAAAGGCACTTGCAATTCTAGATTTTTGAGGAATCTCCACACTGATGTCCATAATGGTTGCATCAGTCTTCACTCCCTCCAACAGTGCAGAGGGG